CACACTTCTGTGCTCATCTGGATGTGGCCTGGTAGGGCAAATTAAGGTGATGAACAAAGAGGGGAAGCTGGGTGGATTATGGTAGCTGGGAAAGAGACAAGCAATGAGGATATCTGGATAGGTAAAGGCATCAGGTTCTGAGTTCATATTGAGACAGAAACTGTCCATCATGACACAGAAACTGTCCATCATCTACTCCATGTTCACATTCATAATTAGCGGTCAATGCAAAGATAGTTTACCCCACTTTCCCTGAGAGGTGAGCTACGTTGCATTTATTGCAAAGCAAAAAACCCTACTGGGAGAGTTACTGTGCAGTACTTTATTGTGTTGTTAATTCTCGCTCTAGCTTAGCTCCTGATAACTTGCTCCCAAAGCCATATCTGAGAGATCTTTTGGCCATGCTTAGATTGAGGCAACTATTGAAAACTCAACCAGCCCCAAACAAAGGTTTCCTTCAATATTACTTTTGCAGCAGACTGAGCCTGAGAGCCTGTCTGTGTCTGCCAATGACTGTGGCAGAGTACCTGCGACTCAACCTGTGAGAACGCTGTGAAGTGGAACCAAACCAAAGGCAAAAATCCAGTAGGGCTAACAACGTAATGGGTTAAGTGCAATGTAACTTTCAGTGACTATAATGAAAGGGGCTTGGATACAAATAGAGCTAACACTGCACTATGGCCTTGGCTTACTTAATCTAATTTTACAATGAAATACAGGCATTCTAGCATTTCCGTAGCAATAAGTAGAAGCAGCATATTAATAGTCTGCTGTTTTTTGTTCATTTTGACACATATTCCTGCAATAGATTGCATTTGCAATGAATCTATTAATAAGTGAGTAAAGACAGAAATTGATTTTTAAATTACATTTTGCAAAAAGTCAGGGCTATATATTACTTGTGCTTAAACCTGAGCACATCTGGAATATCTTTGGTTATAGGAGATTACACCCGTGTAAGTGACAGCAGTGTTTGACCTATTCAGCCTAAAGTTGGTGTACTCACCACCACAGTTACAGATACATTTTCAGAAGTGGAAAAGAAGAAGTAACAAAGTAAGCAAATGCAATATTTACTTTTGCCAGTATCAGCTACAGCCATATTAGTATTTGCAAGGCAGTGATAGTTAAAATGACATTCTTGACCTCTATACTTATTTTCCCAAAGATTTCTCCAAACATATTCACACAGTTTACAAGTCAAAACAAAAAAGTCCCCTACCACCACTTCAAACTCGCTTTAGTACCCAGTAATCAAAATTAGCATGTGTGCCTTCTGGTTTTATATCTTTTTACAAGCACAAGAAAGCCTGTGTTTAATTCCCTGGTCTGCCTCATGTACTCTGCATGTCTGGTGCAAAGTGAATTTAAGCTAGCTAGAGAAGAATTCCTTTCTATAGGAATTCCTTATGCTGGGTTCAGGGTAGCACAGAGTGCAGAGCCAGGAGTCCCATCCCCAGACCTGACATAAGAAGAGCATGTGTGCTTGCTCTGGGAAGGGGCATAGCAGAGCCAAGCTAGTAAAATCTCTGAGCCCAGCTCCAAGCTGTTACATCTGAAAAGCCCCACCTGGTGTCCCCAAGGACAGAATTTGACACAATTCCACATAAAAAAAAACTTGCTTTTCAAATACGTGCTCCCTAGCCCATCATTTTGTTGGATTTTTTTTCCTCCCCTTAGTGGATGCATCCCGCTGAGCTGAATATGTCATACTTTGACATAGCACTAGAGCATGTGGCAGATACAACTCCACCAGGAATCACAGCACTGAGGTCCATTATTATTTATTAAGCTTGAAAAAAACACATCTCCTGCCTGTGTAAAGCTAAAGTGCTGTAAGTCTCTCTCTATTGTCCCAAAGCCAGATTACTGCTGGGCTTATGCAGGTACACTGGTGGGGAGACGTAAGCACTCTTTCCCTCCCCTACAGTAACTGCTGTAGTTAGGCAATGCAGGATGTGTGCGCAATCCTGCTGACAGGACTCTATCAGTCAGGGTCAGGACTTTATAAACTCCATGCCTTCCAGAAGAGCTTCATTGGAGGAAGCAAGACTGATGTCTAACTTATTCAGGCTATCGCCCCTTCCACCAGCTACTAATGCCAAACAAGGCTTCTGGAGGCACTAGGCCCAATCTACCACCATTGCCTTGCACCTTGTGCCATCACATATACCAGTGGAATGGGAGGGCCTACCTGGTATTACACATTACCACTTCAAAATGGTGGTGCTTCGCACCTGCTCTGCACTGGTGTGAATAACACACAAGGTGCAGGGAAATGGTGAATTGAGTCCAGCCCATCTCCAACTGCTCCTGCTTGGGTGTGGTGCCTCCTCCCTGTCACCAGTTTAGTTTAGGCTCTTCTGAACTAATTAAGCCCTAATGTTTGGAAAGGATTTAATCTTGTATGGCTTGCAGTCCTCAGCCCCTACACCAGGGGTGGGCAATTATTTCAGGCCATTTACCGAGTTTTGGCAAGTTGTTGAGGGCTGCATGGGTAGCCCTGCCCCTTGACAGGTACCCCACCCTCTGTTCACCATCTTGGGACCAGAAGTCCTGCCCCCTAACCCCTGACCTTTACCATCAGAAGACCCTCCCCTTGCCCTCAGAAGTATTCCTTTCAGCAAAGGGTTTTGCTATCTCAGAACCAGAAAAATACCAAATTATATTCTAAAAATCGAACATCTACAACATTCATTCATTTTATTTCATAAAATATTTTTGTCCTGATTTACATGTGTGTGTAGTGCACATAGAGGTGATCGCACAACAGCTTAAAATAAAGTCTTACTCTTGTAAGCACACCCCCCAACATGCACACTCTCTCTCTCCCCCTCCCTCATTGCATGGACACAGACACACACACCCCCCCTCCCACTCCTGGCCCTGGGGTACCAGCATGGAGGGGCAGGGGAGGAGGGGGGGAAAGGGCAGGGCCTGATGCTCTTAGTCACCCAAGGCTTGGATCAGGCTTGCTTTGCTTCTGGAGTCTGTGAGGTAAGTGGGGTTTGCAGAGGGCTGGGGGGTTGCAGGGCAGGAGGGAAGCTGGCTGGGGGCTGAGGGAGTGGGGAGGTTTGCACTCCAGCTAGGAACTGGGAGTTTGCAGCTGGGGAGCTGGGGGGCTTAGTTTTGATAAACATAAAAAAAATGACGTTATGTTTTATGGCACTGTTTTTGTAAACAAACAAAAATTGAATAAATAAAATAAAATAAAAAAATATTTGAAACTGGATAATACAGTGTGCTGCTCCACCTGCCCCTCCTGTCTCAGAGTTCACCAGCTGCGCTACTTCCTACCCCACCTTCTCTGGGCTGCTGCCTATGCTCACTTGTCTGTTTGCCACTTAGGCCTTCACCCTGTCCCTTTTCCAGACATCTTCTGTACAAGCCCGTCCCATGCTCCTTCTCTGTTGGACGCTGCATCTAAGAACCCAACCAGCAGGTAACAATAGTGATGCTGCGCTCCCTCCAGGTCTCCCTTTCTTGTAGAGGGAAGGGAGTGTTTTATAGCTTTACCTCATTTCTCAGCTTTTCTGACTGTTGCCTACAATGTCTGTCACTCTATCCAGGACCAACAACCCCCTTAGGATGTTTTTTGTATCAGACCAAGACAGTAATAGAAATTCTGTGCTTGAGGCCTGTCCTTACAGGGCCAGCATGCCCTGTATACATACATACAATGTACAATGTAACAATGTATGTTGTACATTGAATGTACAACATACATACAATGTAAACAACAGTGTATATAACACAGCCTTTCACTCAAGACACTGCAGCCACTGTAGCAAGCTGACAGCCTCCAGCAAGAGTTGCATAGGGCAAGAAGCAAGACATGGTGCAGCTCTTGGTTGTGTGGGCTTGGGCACGCACAGTGGGGTGCCATGGCAGCGTGTGGGCAGGCCGGGAAACTGATACGTATGCAATTTATAAGTGAGGGCACTTGCTCAGAGGCTCTTCTGAAAGCCTCCAAGCAGGGCTGGAGGAAAAGCCTGCTGTGAGAGAACAGGAGTTGGAGGTGCAGTTCCCTGCACTGGGCAGCCAATCAAGGGTGTCCCATGTGCTTGGGTGTGCTCAACAGTCTCTAGCAGCCCCAGGAGCCCATAGGACATGCTGCGCTATATGCCTGAGTGCCCCTCACCTGTAGGCCTCCATCAGAAAAGCCTACCTGCACCAACTCTCCCTGCAAGAAGAAGCGTGTGTAGTGTTTGCTCCCTATCTTCACTTTGGTCACTCAAATTAACCACATCTGAGATCAGTCCCTCCCTCTTCTTTCTGAAGGACAGCACGAGGCTATAATCTGGAGCAGGCCAGTCAATTTCCACAGCTCATGAGCACAGAGCGAGACTCAGAGGTTCAGAAAAGCCTTTTAGCATAGCAGCTTTCTCATTTTAACTGTTGCAATTTAGAGCCAAAATCTGTCATTCTTATACACATCATGCTCCAACTCCAAAGAAACATGCCAAGGGGCAGCCAGGGGTAGATGCTGCCCCTACCACGGGATAGCCAAATTATGAACTTTCCATCCAGTGCCACTTTTATTCACATATAACATAATTAAAGAGTGAAATAATAAGTCTACAACCCAGTAACCTGAGAGACTGTGTACCAATAAACTGAAAATCCAGGGGTAGAGTTTTGCTTTAATCATGCTGACACAACATATTCAGGAATTGCTAACTGGCTTTCAGTAATTTGCTAATTGCTACTAGGCTGTATAATTTCAGGGGTCATATTAATGCAGTGTTCTGACAATACAATTGTTTCTATAAAAATAATTTATTGTGGAAAGTAGGCAGTTTGGGCAACTCCTCCCATGTAACACTAAATATAAAAATTATCTCGACTGAATCTACATCCTGGTTTAAGCCCACAGCAGGGTGGAGAAAAAAGTTACACTTACTCCATTTCTAAATGAACCTGCTGGGTGTGGATTCTACAGCCAACTGCATAAGAAGAAATCATTAACTAGCACAATAATGCTATTTTGAACTGCTTACCTCCAAATCCAGGTCTCATTGCAAAATCATGCTCCTCTATGCGAAGAATCTGCTCATACTTCAGTGGTCGAAGTTTGGTACTATCTAGTTTCCTCATACTAATTTCTCGTTTGCTGCATTGAAAAAAAAAATCAAGTAAAAAGCTTTATTATATTGAGCGATGGTCACAGTCATGATTAAATGAAGATATGAGACTAGATCCCCAGATTCTTGCCGCTAGGAGTCTGTGATATAACCACATGAATGAAGTTGATGAGATGGAGGTTGCAGGGGTAGGTCAGGAGTAAAAATACACTCCATCTCTCTATATTTGCCCCTTTCTCTCCCTTCAGAGGTTAACCTTGCGATTGGAAAAGATTATAACCAAGATTCATAGACACACACTTATTGAAGACATTGATACAATATAAATTGTGTTTGGAAATAATATTGTGTAATTGTAGTTTTAATAGATGTCATGTTGTATTATGTCCATATTACACAGTGAGTGACTGTGACTTCCATCCAGAGATTACCTCTGAATTTGGCAGTCTTATTGTCTGGGATCAAGGAGGTACTTTTCCATGTCCCCTGGGAAATTCACTCAGATTCAGCCATGTTATAAGCTGACAAAAATAATGATTTCCTGTTTGTTATTTTGTGCTGTGCAGTTTATTTTAGTTTGCTGCTAAAAAATGGTCAGCTTTCCATTAACACTGCAGATGAACTCTCAGCCTCATTTCAGCATGCTACACACAGGTGAAACTCTCCATGGCATGCATACAAATACAGATGAACTTCTTGCCACTGCTGCTGAAACCAGCTCTAGATTCTCTTCTAGTAACTCTGTTCCCTTCAAAATAGCCTTTACTGAGCAAGTCCTCGTACCCTACTGAGAAGTTATACAACCTAGGGACATTGAGGGTAACTTGGGCGACAGCGACCATGAAATTATCAGGTTCACTGTCCGCCACAAGGTCGACAAATCAGCCAGCAGAATTGAAGTCCTGGACTTCAAGAATGCTTACTTTGACAAGCTCAGAGCATTAGCAGGGGAGGCTATAAGACACCAGGAAGGGACGGCAAATGGGGTGCATGAAGAGTGGTTGTTGCTCAAGGACACGATACTTGAAGCACAAAAGAAAACTGTTTCTGCAAAGAGGAAAGGTAGCAGGAGGGCTGGAAAGCCCTCCTGGCTTAATAGGGACATTGCCGTCCTCTTAGAAAAGAAAAAAGAGGTGTATGCACAGTGGAAGCTATGGACGGTCCCCAAGAAGGACTATATATTAGTGTATATCTCACACTTGTAGAGAAATGATCAGGAAAGTCAAGGCAGTGACTGAGTTTAGGTTAGCCGCAGGAGGCAAGGACAATAAGAAGTTCTTCTTTAGGTATGTAGGCAGTAGAAGGAAAACAAATGGAAGTGTGGGACCCCTGCTGATCACCTCAGGACAGCTGGTAACCAACATTCAGCCCATCTTCAAGAAGGGGAAGAGGGAGGACCCAGGCAACTATAAGCCAATCAGCCTAACCTCCATCCCAGGGAACATCCTGGAAAAGCTCATTAAAGAATCTATGTGCAATACACTTGCGGAAGGTAAGATTCTGAACGATAGCCAGCATGGCTTTGTCGCGGGTAGGTATTGTCTTACCCATCTCATCTCCTTCTATGACCAGGTCTCTCACCACCTGCACATGGGAGACATGGTAGGCATTATATACCTAGACTTCCAAAAGGCTTTTGATCTAGTATCCCATGATATCCTTGTGGGAAAACTGGAAGATTGTGGGTTCAGCTGCTTGACGGCTCTGTGGGTGGGAAACTGGCTACAGGGTAGGACGCAGAGAGTTCTCGTGAACGGATCTGTGTCAGCCCGGTGCAGAGTGGCCAGTGGTGTCCCTCAGGGGTCCATGCTTGGACCAGTGCTTTTCAACATCTTTATCAATGATTTGGATGGGAGAGTGAAAAACTCACTGGCCTAGTTCATGGACAACACCAAGTAATGGGGCAGTGTGGTCACGTCAGGACGCAGGTAGCAGATACAGGTGGACCTGGACAGGATTGAGAGTTGAGCATACTGGAACCAGATGAAGTTTAACACTTCCAAGTGTAAGGTGTTCCATCTGGGGGTAAACAACCCTCAACTTACATACAGGCTCGGAGGTGACAGCTTGACTTGCACCACGGCCGAAAGGGACCTAGGGGTAATGATTGACCACCACATGAATATGAACCATCAGTGCAAGGCGGTGGACAGCAGGGCAAATAACGTGCTTGCATGCATCAAACGATGCATCCCATGTAAAACTAAGGAAGTGATACTCTCACTGTACTCAGCACTGGTGAGACCGCAGTTGGAGTACTGTGTCCAGTTCTGGGTGCCGCACTTCAATAAGCATGTGGAAAAGCATGAGAGGGTCTGGAGAAGACCCACCCGTATGATCAGGGTCTTGCAAGACAAGCCATACAAGGAAAGGCTGAGGGACCTGGGCCTCTTTAGCCTGGAGAAGAGAAGGTTGAGAGGGGACCTAATAGCAGCTTACCACTATATCAGAGGAGTGCATAAGGAGCTCGGTGAACAGCTGTTCACTGGGGCACCCCTTGGGAAGACCAGGACCAATGGATATAAACTCCTGGAAGGCCGCTTCAGGCTTAATACCAAGAAAAACTCCTTCATAGTCAGGGTGTCCAGACTGTGGAATAAACTCCCTCCAGAGGTGGTGCAGTCACCTGCTCTGGAGGTTTTCAAGAGGAGACTGGACAGTCACCTCACTGGGGTCACCTAACCCCAGTTGTCTTCCTGCCTAGAACGGGGGGGTGGGGGCTGGACCTGATGATCTGCAGAGTCCCTTCCAGCCCCTAACAATCTATGAAGCTAAAGAATCCAGGCCACCACTATGGCAGGCTCAAGTCTCACTTATACTGTGCCCTCAAAAAAACTCTGCTGAATTGTTTCTTGGTTTTGCTGTGCCCAAAACATGAAAACACATGCATTTGTCCGGTACTTGGACATGCTCTGTATCTTTCACTATGAGCAGAGCAACAAACTTGATCTTTTGTAAGCAACTGCAGTTACTCCTTTGGCCCAAATGATAGAAATTTCTGCTGAAAGTCCAGGGTTCAAACTATGCGAAAACATTGAACAGTGGCTCCTAATAGAGCTTTTCCTTTTCAAAGAAGACCCAGGAAATCACATTAAAAAAGAAATGTTCAAAAATTGTAACCAAGATTGCTCAGTTACTACTGTGACAGGTGCCCATAATTAATAATTAACTTCTGCTCTTTTCCAAACCATTATGTGGCAGAGTTAATATACTTGAATATCATTGAATGTTCCTGGGCGATTAGTAGTACTGTTAGAGCTTCCAGTTGGACTTCTAAAAATAAGTTACTGTGAAAGCTAAGGAACATAAATAAATAAATTCTCCCTGTAGACGATGCAAAAAGAATTGTCAGTCATTAAAACTTTAGTGACTACAATTTATGTAAAACTAGCCAGTTTGAACAGGATACAGAGGACGTGGAATAGTAGAGTTCTGATCTGGGAAATGGAACGTGAAAATGATATGGATATTAGAAAATAAAAGCTAAGTTATATATAAAGATAGAGTATAAGAGACACGGCTTTCCTAGGGTAATATTTTGTTAGACCAACTGTATAGTTGGGATAGAGATAGACACACTTTCAAATGCAAGACATTCAAAAGAGAGTCTTACATTCAAATGCTTAAATGTCTAACTCTATCCCAGCTACACAGTTGATACAATAAAATGTGTCACCCTAAAGAATCCTTGCCTCTTGCATAATTTCTGGACCATTATGGCTACATTATTCTTACACTGCCATAGAAAAATGAGAAATGCAAAAGCTTAACATGAACTAAAACATAAAGGAACTGCCAGAGACTGAAAGGAAGAGGAAAAAAGAGCACAAGACTCCTCTGTGGACAATGACTTGGGTTAAGGGAGCACTATTGATGGAAGATAAATATCTGTCTTTATGCCTATTTTAAGGGATTTAAATCTTTAAAAATTATTTTTATTTGATAATGTTGATTTGTTAATGAATCAAGTTAAAAAGAAAGAAAATAATTAAAAACTGATGTTTCAGAGAATCACAGTCTCCTGTGTCTGTCAGTTCAGCCACTGTCAAGTCAGTGTGTCCCAACTGGGAGAGGTCAGGGCAAGAGAATTCTTGCTTTTGTGTTGTGCTGCAACAATTTTGCTTTTGGACCCTTAAATTGAGCGATTTATCAAACCTTCAAGCCCAAACAAGAACTCAGTAATAAAAAAATCATGCAGTCATCACAAATGTACATTGATCTCTCGCATGAGTGGATTTTTCCATGTTTTTACTAAAAATCAGCATTCACTAATGTAAAAAAAGAAAAGACCTGTAACATTTTTACAGTCAAATTTTTTGTTCTTTATTGTAGGAAATGGACCATGAGAATAATCTCTTTCTCATGTACTTTTGGCTAATGCCTTAAAATCTTCTTTGCAAGAGAATGCAAACAAATAGCTTTGGAGGGGGAATTAGGTTACTCTATTAAACCAGTGGAAGTTGTAGGTTAAGTAACATTTTCACATGGGATGCTTTCTAAAAGGCCACACATTTAACCAAGGCCATCTGGCAACAGTGTCCCTAATCACTCTAGTGCTGGCTGAAAGGTTTTTCCTCAGAAGGAAAAAGAGAGTGACGGGAAATTGGGCCCTGCTGTAATGTCTTAGCGGGAATGTCCCTGTTCAAAATAAAGCCAAAAAGAATCAAACAAAGAGAAATTAAACCTATTTGGCCCTTTTCTGCAGAAATGCTGCCCTGTAGCTGCTAGTTTTTGGTACCCTCTGGTTCCAGTCCCAGCCTTTACATAGCCAGGGTCTAAGTAACACAGATATTTGGGGCCAGATCCTCAGGGCTATAAATCAATCTAGCTCCACTGACTTCTTTATGGAGGCTGCAACCGACAGTCTTCCCATTTTTATGTTGCCCATCTCCGGGGAGCGTTTTGTGGATTAATTAGTTGATGCCTATAGAGCTCTCTGAAGATGAAGAGGGTTATATTCTAGTACTAAACATTATTGCTATCATGTGGCAATCAGCCAGCACAGTCTGTCAAGTAGGATTTCACTGCA